AACCTGCTACTTGACACTTTAGAACAAATCTAATTGTAGGACCAGTTCTTCCATGAGGCCCTAGAACCTTTACTTTGGTCCACAGAGGGAACTTGTTCCGCCAACACAAACCTCACATATCATGGCTCGTGTATTTTCCACTGTGACTTTGAAAGTGATGACGTTGCATGAATCAGCACAGTCAGAGTGGAAACTGCACCCTATGAAAAACAGACTTCAATACTTTGTTGGGATCTGAAACAATCTGAAACGCTAACATTACATGCTCAAACTGAGCATTCTTTTTCAATGTAATTTGGATTTGGTATTGAAACACTATCTGGTTGTATTTGAAAAACAGTAAAGGAACACTTCTTGTGCTCTGTGGTTTTAATCCTCACATTAAAGACTTGTTAAGAGCAGTCCAGCAGCTTCTATCTTAGACAAACAGACCACATTCTTAAACTCTGCTCCTGTGTGTCTTATCTCATACTTATCGCTCTGAAAACCTGACGGAGCAGCCTGAAAACACTGATCTTAACCCTTCAAACCGCGCAGATAGGAGACTGCTGTGGAGCTGTTTAACCCTGTGTGGAGCACATTTCGTCTGCTGGGTACTTGTAGCTTTATCTAGGCTCCCCATAATGTGATCAAGAATTACACTTTCACTTATATCTGTTATAAAGTAAACAAAATAACAGTTTAGGGTACACAATCACATTGTTTTTATTATTCAGAACGTTTCAATGTTAATGTCATTGTAGGGAGCTGAGACATTCTGGGTAGAAAGATTATTGGCGACTTCTTAATCGATTGCTTTTTCAAGCACAAATGTCAGACATTTTGTAGTTTCAGCTTGTTCTTTGACCTGTGCGGGTCTGCCGGGTACTTCTTATATGTTATAGTTTGGATTCCCAAAGCTTTTAGTACTATCCCATCATTCAAGGGTGGTTTTCACTATAAGTAATGGTTTTTCTTTTGGACGGACACTATCATTTACATTTTTTGACTATGTTCAATCTGAATTTACTTTAAAATTGAAAAAAAAAATCTATATTGATTCTAACTTTTCTACATCAATCTCACAGGTTTATCATTGCTTTGAGAAAAAAGATTATTAATTTAACCCTTTTGGAAGGGAAGATATGTCATTTGTTCTGGGCGTGTCATTTTCCAGCCTGAGACCTGGAAAACAGGCTCGGGGCTGAACAGGTTAACAGATCTGTGGCTCTTTCTTCTCTCGTGCGATGGGTGATTTGATTCAAAACAAAAGATTTGCAGATGTTTGGGAATATGATCATCATTTTTTACTATTTTTCTGACATTTGAGATGCTAAACTATTAAGATTTTTGTTCAAAATATGAATTACTAGTATTATTGATTATGGTAATAGTTTTTTTGCTGAACACAAACTTAGATTTTAGCTCCAGGTGCCGCTGTCTTTTTTGTCACTGTCTGTGATGTCACCTAACAGCAACTGGTTATGGATGAAAATCAAAAATCTTAGGAAATAAATATCAATTTCTTTATTTTATATTTTTGTTATCTAAATGTCTGAAAGGTTGGACTTGATTTTATAAATTAATTCTGCAACATTTCTAATCAAATATTTCACTATTTTCACAAAGCAACGTTATAATATTCACGCCATGGTGATGAAAACATTTATATCTGTAAAGAAGGAGAAATTCATTTGTCCTGGATAGTTGAAACTTTACCTTCCGTTTAAATGACGTTAAGATGTGACTTTCCTGTACATCAGTAAAGGAGAAACACCTGAACACCCTGATATCTTTGCACAAAACGTTTTATATTTATCTATTTCTTCAGCAATATAGCCATTTTGCAGAAACTCATGTGTGTCTTATGTGAGTTCCTGTCGTCCCCTATCGGGTTTTAATCCATTACATCCCCCAAAAAGCCCAGTGGAGAACTCTCCCTGAACTCCCACAGGTGGGGAGCTGCTCAGAAAACTCCATCTGAGCTGAGAAAAGTATGTTCTCATGTGTTTTTGGGAGCCGTCCTCCCCCAGCTGCTCGGGACCGTCCGCCTTCAAAGGTGGAGGCAAGTAATGGAGGAAAGATGGGGGGAGGAGAAGTCATTCTCTGCTCATCCATTCCCAAAGTCTGAGAGTGTCTGGGACCTGGACTGGGACTTCCCCTCTGCGCGCTCACAGCTCGTCTACTCCATGGAATTGGACGGTAGAATTGTTGTTTTGCCGATCCGCTTTATATACTAACTTTAGATTACATTTGAATAGACTCGCAATGTCAAAATGACACATTCTGGTTCTGCTCGTTTTTTATATGTTTTAGACTGAGCATCTTCGGTTTCACGTTTGGTCAAATTAGTTTTGGATCTGTGTATAATTATTTTTCACTCATTATTGCTGTTATTTTCGAAGGTCAAATCTGTTCCATTGTAGCGAAGTATGTGTGAGAAGCAACAATTGTAACCACTGTTTTTTTTGCATTTCTCTAAATACATCCCAAAAATGTGACATTAGAGCGAAGAGCAAGGACACAGCTGTATAAATACATTTAGGGTACTTATAACATATCATTAGCAAAATGACCAACAGCATTAATGTAATCTTCTTTATACAAATCAAGTGTTTGTGTGGGTTGTAAACAATAGAAATAATGCATTGTCGATCGTGGTAAAAAGTACAGCCAATAAGTCGATAGTGGGGAATTCCATTATTAGAATAATTGTGAATATCCTTATGTGATGGACTTTAAAACGTTGTATGCCTCACTTCCCTCACAGGTAGTGAAGTAAAAAAGAAAGCCTTCATTATGTAAACACATTTTTCAAAACTCACAATTTTCTTATTTTTTTTCTTCTTATTTCTTCTAATTAACCAGGGCTCTTATGAAGTAAAGGATGTTCCCCTAAATACATTTGTCCCATCTGTAATTCAATAAGAACATTTCTCCCGAATGAAATGAAATGGAAGGTCATTCCAGTATGTTTTCGGTGCCATTCAAAAAAGAAACGTACAATCTTCCCAATGCATGCTGGACGTGCATCATAACTGTAAAACTAAAATCACCCTCATCTATTTTTCCCTTTTCCATCAGAACGAGCACGCAGCTCGTCCTCGGCTATAGCTGCTGAGAATCATGACGTCGCTGTAAAAAACAATATCATCTCATGGGTCTTGAGTTTTAGTAGCTTTTCTCTTCCACCCCTTCCTCCCCCCCCGCCGAGGCCTCGGTATCACCTCGTCCTCTAATTGTTTCAGGACTCGGCCTCAGATTGTCCTTGGCAGCGGGCACTAGAGAAAATGTTTAGCAAGTTTGTTTTTCTAGTAATTAGCCTTAAAACGGCCCGTAATACAGACTGCTAATGGTCCACAGAGAGCTGCGCCTGTGTCAACACACCGCCTCCGTGTGTGTGTGACTGATGTGTTCATGAGAGATTGTGTGTGTTTTTTCTGTTGGAAGCTGAGGTGATCAGGCGTGTGAAAAGTGGTCGGGCAGTAATGTGAAAATGTTAGTTTTCCCATCCAGCTGCTTGTCCTGCTCTGTATCAGCAGAACACGCAGACGGATCACTGCTTCACCTCCAGTCTGCGGCCCGCCATGCCTCCATATGTCCTTCTGCCCCGTTAGCATAGCGGCTGTTCATCAGACACATTTTGATACCTGCTGAATAGGTTAGAATGTTTGTTGAGGCTATTTGGTGTTTCCCAGCAGGGGTTAGGTAAACCATCCATCTTTCTGCCCCGTTAGCATAGCGGCTGTTCATCAGACTCATGTCAGTCCATGGGAGCATATTTGAATGACTGCTGAATAGGTTAGATTGGTACATTTGTTGAGGGTGTTTGGTGTTTCCCAGCAAGGGTTAGGGTTAGGAAACCTCAAAACCATATCACTTATAATCAAAGCTGACACCATATTAGTGTTTTTGTCTCCCCTGCTCACACGGTTGATTTATTAACATCCAGCTGTAAGCCAGTAGACAGAGCCCAGAATGGTATTATGGGTAATTTTGGGACGTCCCAGTCTGAGGTGGAACAGCTGAGAGAAATACGACTCTTTAGAGGTTTTTATGAAGTTTTCTTTCTGTTTCTCATCGCCTTCGTGTGAATTTTTCCAAGTCTTAAGCGTTTTTTCTCAGGGAGCTTTTATGAAAATGTGAAACCAGACACATTTATCACCAAACTCTCCAATCTGGGTGTAATTAAGAGAAAGCTCTTTGGCATCCAAACTTACACATTTCAGCAGCGGGGTCAGAGGTTTATTTAGAAATGTTCTCCGTTCAGATCTGTAGAGCAGTGCAGGCATCAGGAAAAATGAAGGAAATGCATACCTTTGCAAGCACACTAATAATCCACTAATACTCTGAATATGATGCATGCAAACAGCTAATGTAAACCTTATTCTGTGTGAAGAAGATTAAGACGTGTTATATGCTGATATTAGTTTTGTAAAATGTGTATAACGGTGACTTCATTTGAGCGAAGTAGCAAAATGGACTATTGTAATATTCAGATTGCAGGAAGCACATTAGAAAGAAATGTTTAATGAAGTATTGTTGAACTGCAGAGATATCACAGCCTACCAACCATATCACGCAGACTTAAAGGGGCTCTACTATTCTCATTTTCAGGTTCATTTGTATTTTGACGAAAAGCCCTTTATTGTTCTCATACTGCCTGTGCTGCAGCACCTCTTTTCACCCTCTGTCTGAAACCAGAGCCCAGTCTGCTCTGATTGGTTGGTAATAAGATGAAAAAAATGATCAATAGTAATCACAATCAGTTATTTGTTCCAATGTTATTTTAAGGCCATAATGCACATCATCTGGCCAGTCTAAGTTACTTGAAGCATGGTTGCATTAACGGGAATGTTAATGGGATATTAATTTCCATAAGAAACTATATGGCAATGCTGTCTGTCTCCCAATAAGCCAATGGTCTTTAAGTGACAAACCAAAGCACACCCTGCAGCTGTGTCCATGTAGTGAAAATCACTTTTTATGTTTATAGTTTTACATTTTGTATGTGTTTGCAGCGGGAGCAGGAAAACGCCATGACGCGTCTGAAGAAGCAGCAGGCGGAGCTTGAGGCCATGAGGCTGCGTTACCTAGCAACAGAGCAGAAGGAGGCGGTCAGTCAGGACCGACAGGAGCTGGACGACATCAAGAACCAACTCAACAGGTAGTGATGATGTGTCTCTGAAAGATGGCTACGCAAATGAATATATATATATATATTTATATATATATATATATTAGGGCTGTCAAGTTAACGCGTTAACGCAAAAAAAAAATAACGCCACTAATTATTTTAACGCGATTAACGCATGTGTATTATTTTTCCTCGGCCGCCCCGTAGTGTCAAAGCGCATCGAGTTTAAAATACCATCTACACGCTGATGCTGACAGCCCCGCTCCTGCTGCCCGCTTGTGGCAGACCACACTTCCACGCTCACCGGCAGGCACCGACTGGCCATCTGGAGGACCGGGAGGGTGTGTGTATGTGTGGCCCGAGCGAGCGAGAGAGAGACCTTACGTGCATTGTTGTTGTTAGCATCTGGTGCTAGCTAGCTGCGCTAACAGATATAAGGAGCTGTTTAAATGAAAACAGAGGAGCGACATTTCGCCACAACTGCGCCGAGCACTTGACTTTATGCAGGAAGCCAGACAGTGGGACAAGTCAGCACACTCAGCACGGATAGTGCGCAACATGATTGCAGCGTCCAGGCAGCTCCCGTTCGAGCATATGCCTTGAGTTGCACATAGCTCCAACGATCCATCACACACACACACACACACACACACACACACACACACACACACACACACACACACACACACACACACACCATTTGTATTGTATTATTGAATGAGAGGTTCCAGGTTGAATTGAGGCGAATATTTTTAATGTTCAGAGGTTGTTGTGTTTAATATTCATGAGAATATTTGTCATTGTTCAAATGATAATAAACATTAGCATAAAGCATATTTGTCCACTCATATGTTGATAAGAGTATTACAAACTTGAAAAATATTCCTCTAAGGTACATTTAGAACAGATCAAAAATGTGCGATTAATCGCGATTCAATATTTTAATCGACTGACAGCCCTAATATATATATATACTGTGATGTGTACTGGAAGTACAATAAATATATAGGTATTTTTGGGCTAGAAAGCAGGTGCAATGTACTGTGTGTATATATATATATATTTATCCCCCCAAATGTAAATGATTGTTCAGTTTCAAAGCCTCTCCTGTTCGTTGAAATACAGCATTCGGAATAAAACAATTCACAAGTTACTAAAACATTCAATCCACCAACAGCCCAACTTAAAACAGGTTTACAGACAGGATCTTATTGTTCAAATGTCTAGAACTTAAACAATTCGTCAACTAATAAATGAGACGGAATCAAGAGAATAATCTGAAGGTGAATTAAAAAAGGAATTCTTGCTGCTCTAAAAACTGTGACGTAATAATTTATTATGCTTAACCTTAATATTATATTAAGTATTCTGATTAAAAAGTACATATGCTAATGTTCAGCTTAATATTTGTATTTAGTGCTTTGACTGTGACGGGTTTTAATATTCCAAAAGGTCTTTATTTGCCTCACTCCTCTGCAGACCATTGACATGCACAGAACCCTAAACACACTGCAGGAAAGAGAGCATAGGGCCTAATGGGGCCTCTTTAACATGCTTGTGTAGACTGTTACATTCTGAAGTAAGCATAAAAACCTAGTATTTCACAGTGAGCATGATTAGCTTAGCTGTGACAACTATTTTCATCTCTCAATTTAGGAAAAAAAAGTTATTAATGATGTCTTATTTAATACCCCATTGCTGTTCAAATGGTACTAACTTAAATCATTTTGACAGATTAAAGCAGCAGGAGGACAGGTTAGGCCCCGCCTCCTCCCAGTGTGGCCCCGCCCCCGCTCAGAGCGTCAACGAGAGCGCAGACGAGCACCTGAGCCGCCTGCTGGAGGAGAGAGACACGCTGCTGAGGACCGGCGTCTACACACACCAGGACAGGATCATCGCCGAGCTCAACAGACAGATCCAGGACGCCATGACGGACAGAGAGGAGCTCTGACGGCCAATCAGAGGCAAGCGCTGACGCCGTTAGAACGTGTTTGTTTCTGGAAAATACATTCAAGCTTTTGGTTAAGATAGAGTTGAACTTGTCCTTTTAAAGGATCATTCCTCTAGTTCTGTATGTCTGGACCTTAACATACAAACTATATTTGAACCTTTTGGGTTCCCGACTATTCAACATTTACTTTATTTTTTGAGCTGCTGATGCATTCAAGAACATTCGGAATCGCACAAAACGCATTACAATGTTCACTGGAGCTGAAAGAAGACGTTATCTCTCATCAGAATGTTGATCAATCATTGAATGATATCATTAGGATCTCCAAATGCAAACTGGATCTCTTCAGGATTTGAAGGTCAGACTAGCAGTTTCATACGGGGGCCAACGGCAAATCCATTCAACGTCCCAAAAAACGTCCATTAGGGGAAACGCGCTGTACTTTCAAAAACGATGCAAAACAAAAACCACAAATGTGCTAAAACACGTGCAGAGGGAGAAACATCTTCCTCAGCTTGACCAGCATGCGCAGTGTGCACTAAAAGCCCCGCATGAAGAAATGACAATACTGACAAAAAGCGTAAGGAGCGCTCCGGTCCCAGCTGTCTCCTTTTTATTTCCCGTTGTGTTTGAGCTTCTCGCAGCGCTTTCAGTGAACCCGCTCCATGTGTCGTGAAGCTGGGGAACGTTTTCTAAACGCTACGCATGCGTTGTCAGAAGTTTTCTTGGTTTGCATTTGTTTTGGCACGCGTGTGAACACCTTTGCATCCTGTTTGGGAGTGCAGCTCGTCCCTCCCATAGTAAGTGATTTTGGACCGTTGTGGGCCACCGTAGTTTAAGGGTCTTTAAAACTGATGATGGAAAGTTAGTGACTTTTTAGACTGAACTAAACTCTTCATGAATCTGAACTCTAGCGGCTCACAGATCTCAATGATTGAGCTTCATTTAAGCTCATTTTGAAAGAAATCCAAAATGATGTTAAATCTGCTTGAATAGTTTTGTAGATGGAAAGATGCAAAACCAGCGGTCTGCTCCTTTAAATATGAAGGTTGGAATACATGGTGCTAAGTTATGAGAGGAGGAGGAGTTTGTGTACACTCTGAAATAAAGGATGTTTGTCCCGACAGCAGGTGGCGCTGCAGAATCACAAACACACGACCTGCAGCAGGGAGAGACGTTAAATGATTTGTTATCTTCAGAGACTTCAAGACTCTGATTTCTGTGTTTGTCTAAATAAATTATTATGGTTTTGAAATGTGCTGCGTCAGCTGTTCTCTTTCTAATACTTGTAATATATTTCAGTTTTATGAAAGAGCGGAGAGATGTTACCACTGCTTAACTAATAAAGATGATTTTAAATCTTCAGCCCGTCGCTCACACATTCTGTGTCATGTTTATTTTAAGTAGATACAAAAATATGAATTTATAAAAGTTAACAGTTTAGAGAACGAGACAAAAATAAATGTAATCTAACCAACATCAGATTTCTTCACTTACCAAAGCCCAAAAGAGTCTTCACTTTTAAAAGATGTGTACGGATTTAGTCCTGAATCATGGATTATTTATTCATCTAATTCATAACCTGTAAAGTTTACTGACTGTATCATATATATATATATATATATATATATATATATATATATATATATATATATAATACATATGATACAGTCAGTAAACTTTACAGGTTATGAATTAGATGAATAAATAATCCATGATTCAGGACTAAAATTCAGGACTAAATATATGAATACGGTGGCCGACTATATTGTGGTATTTTTCATCGTTTTTATACCTTTGTAATTAAATATATGATGGCATACATATAACATGTTATATGACATACTATGATTTTTCTCCACACGTTTATGGCACAACTCTTTTGTATATTGACCTGGTTAGAAGTCTGAGGAGCAAAGAATCCCCCCAACAGTCTTCCTTTATAAATGCCACTTTATTAGTGGTGAAGGTGCTTGGTTAAGGTTAAACCTTTTTATGAAAGTTTGTTGATCAAATACCGGATACACAAGCACATTCCTGCCCTCCAATTACTTTAATTGTGTCATTACAAATGTGTGAGACAATAATAAAATAATTGTGTGTGTGTGGCTTTGGATAAAAGCGTCTAACATGTAATGTAGTATGCCCTTATTTTATGATCAGATTCAAAGGTATAAGAATCTAATTGAATCTACTGTAAGAACTCTTTTGTGTATTTTAGCAGTTGATTTGATGACTGCTAAACCCTTATTTTGTGAGCTGATGATGCGTTCAAGAATGCTCAGACATTTTAGAATTTGCAGGCAGATAACAGATAACTGGAGCTCATTTAGTGTATTAATGTATTCATCGTGAGAACGTTGATCAACCGTTCATTCAAACTGATCAATTCCTGTTTGAATTGATTCATTTGTATTTATTAGTATTGTTGATTGATTATTGTTAGCTAGTTGTACATTCCAAAACAATATATGAACATGTAATATGTACAAATAAGGAAAATGTATGTAGTAATAAATAAAGTAGAAAAGTAAATACAAATAAAATAAATACACCGACTTAAAAGCCAGTTGGACAAAATAATAAAAGTTGTGGAGGAGAACCAGCTGCAGGGCCGACAGACGACACGTGGTATCACATGTAGAACAACATGTTAACACACACAGACACATCTGTGTGTGTTAACATGTGGGCCCTCAGTGCTGACGGTGAGCAGATGTTCCTGACCCATCTGAGGAGGAGGAGGAGGAGGAGGAGGAGGAGGAGGAGGAGGAGGAGGAGGAGGAGGAGGAGGAGGAGGAGGAGGAGGAGGAGGAGGAGGAGGAGGAGGAGGAGGAGGAGGAGGAGGAGGAGGAGGAGGAGGAGGAGGAGGAGGAGGAGGAGGAGGAGACGTTGAGTATATCATGGAAAAAGACAGTAGAATATTTTTTTAAAACAATATCAAAGCAAGGGGAACTATTCAAATGAAAAAAGATTGATACAAGTGATGAAATGTTGAAAGTATCAGCATGTCCAAAATAGTCTGTCAAATTCTGAAAAAATAAAAATAATATCTGGTACATTTCGTAATATAAAATGTTATCAGGAAAAACCACAAAGTAATTAATGTCGTAAATTCCAGAAAAAACAACATAGTTGACAAAAGAACACACAAAACAACTTTGCCCAGTATATAAAACAAGTGATAATATTGTGTGTTGAAAAATAACAGAAGAAAGTCATAGTCTAAAATATAAGAACAACATAGTAGAGTATATCCAAAATAAATCAAAAAAGGATATATTATTAAACTACTGTACAGAGGCTCAGTCAGTGGAACACGTTTATTTCTAAAGCTTTGTTGGGTAAACTCCCGTATTATATCTGCTCTCTGATAACACAGAGTTGCAAGCAGCTATTGTCTGAGATCACATGATGTAGTATTGTTAGATGTGCCAAGAGCAAGGACTGTCTTAGGTAAGACAGCTTTTATGTGCGCAGCTCCACTTGCTTGGAACAATCTTCAGCAAGAATTGAAACTGAGCAATCTCATTCCTCTGCATGTTTTTAAAGCTAGGCTAAATGAAATGCTCTTTGATACTATGGGTATTTGTAAATGTTGAAAAGTATGTAATGTATCCTGTAAATATGTTGAATGATATCCTCTATTGTTTTATGTTTCATGTGGAACCTAATTGCTGCAGGTCTCCCTTGAAAAAGAGATCTATGATCTCAAGGGACAATCTGGATAGACACTGCTATATATATATGTGTAGGGGTAGGAGTTAGGTTAGTGTGAGGTAGAACCCACAAAGTGTACATGTACCTGTGATCATCTGTAAGAACAAGAGTTATTAAAGCCTAATAACGAGAAGCCTGTTTCCGACTCACCTTGTGAACGCTACAGTATGTTGAAAATAGTCATAGTTTAGTATGTAGAAAAATAATCTGAAAAATGACCTAATACGGTATGTGAAAACGTCTGAAAACACAACATAGTAAAGTTTGTCGCAAATGATCTAAAATAACGTGTGAAAATATCAGAATTAACATCGAATTTATCTGAACAAAAACGACATACTATAGAATGTCAAAAATAGTCATAGTAACTTTATTATTTTATTGTGAACATACTTATGTTCACAATAAAAGAAAAAGGACATAGTATATAGTACGTTGAAAAATAGTGATAGTGCAGTATCTAGAAAATAAAACACCATAAATGACATAGTATAATATGTCATAAATAAATTAAAAAATATATTAGTTGACAATATCAGGAAAAACAAGGGTATATTATTTTATGTAAAAAAAACTGAAAAATAAATAGTATAGTTTGATGGAAATAAATAGTGATGGTATTTTATGTTAAAAAAGTAGTCGTAGTATAGCATGTCAGAAATATCAGAACAAAGAATCATTGTTTGTAGAAACCATCAGTAAACGGGCATTGTATGGTATGTCCCAATTATAAGAAAAAGTGAGTGTGTCCAAAATAATACTATAGTACAGTATGAAGAAGACAAAGTATAGTGTGTTGAAAATATGAATAGAAAAACATAGTTTAGGATGTCAAATTAACAAAAAACGACATAGTATACTATGTCAAAACATGCAGAAACACGCCAGAGATTTGTCATAAAATGTCCCCAAAAACTAACATAGTAGAGTATGTCGAAAAGAGTCTGAAAAACACTTACTTACTGTAGTATTGTAAATCGAAATCATCAGAAACATTTTGTTTTTTGCAAACTATACAATGTCTCTTTGCAAAACTCAACATACTAAAAGTAATCAATAAGTAAAATATCAAAGCACAGTATTTTGTAAAAAAGTAAGTTTAGTTGTTGAGAAATCAACAAAACGACATTGTATAGCATGTCGAAAGTATCATGGGCAAAGTTATAGTGATGGCATACAAAAAACATGAACAAAGCTCTCAATAGTGTATTTAAAGAGGGGCCTTTTCCTTTTGACCTCATTTTTACTGAATATATCCGACACACGGTAGGCAGTGGTTCAGCTGGTTGAACCCAGACACCAGGCCCCTCCTTGACCTCAGCACCGTCAGTCTGCAGACACAAACTGGACTTTCCACTTTCCAGTCTGAATGCTAAGATTATTCCTAAGAGGATTCGACAAATTCACCAAAACAAACACAGTCAGAGCTTTCAAACATCCATCACGGCCCTTTTTTTTCACACCGTGGGAACCATATCCAAACCCGAATCAAAACAAATCAACTTTCTTTACTTTGTTTTGGTTTGACAAACATGTAGATGCATCCAGATTAGATTACATGTAATGACATTAGAGAAGTGGTAGGTTTTATAAGAAGCAGTTATCGAGAAAACTGTGTTTCTTCTTCACTTGTGATGCAGGGAAAGTGGAAATTCTCCCAAAACAGAAACACTTTGATAATGACTGCTGGGAGGTCTGACTGTTGTTATCAGAAGTGACAGCTACAAGAGAGGAAGAAGGAGGACAATAACAGCGTAAATCAGGTATTAGTAAAAGTATTTGTGTGTGTGTGTCACAGAGTATTAGCAGTAAGTAGAGGCAGCTACACTAAACCTCCTGTGTGGTCATTTATAAACATGATCAGTTGAGCTCAAACACCTCTAATTGATCATTTGTGCTGATCTTAAACCAGGCCTCTCTTCTAAATCTGTGTATAACAGTTGAGCAACCACTGACCGGAAATTCATTATTAATAAAATATACAGAATAAAGTCTGCTTTAAACGGGTAAAGTACGGTGGCCGACAAGTGCCAACAAGCTGCATCTACCAAAACACTTGAACTAGGAGAGACGCGCTCCAGCTTCAGAAAATATGCAAATATAAAAACTAGGGCTGGGCAAGTCAACGCGTTATTACTGTGTTAAAGGTGGGAACGTTTGAGAAACCGGCTCGAGATACACTTTTTGTTATATTCCATGGAATGCTCTTAACGTCCCGATAGCAATGAATACATTAAATGCTTTGACAAAAAATCCATTAAAAAAATGTCATCTGTGGAAGCCGTAGTACTGTAAAAAGCACGACCAATCATCTGAGCCGGCCCGGCTAAAATAACTGGATGGCCTACCTGCCTGTCAGCCTTCCATCTGTGCACAAACTTATCTCGTGCCCTCATTGGTCATGTGCGCCTTCTTGTGTGTTGGAGGAGGGGCTCTGTAAGGAAGTGGCAGATTTTTTCCGGTTGTGTATTTTCAAATTCTAGCGCACTCCAGCTGGTTTCTCCAAAATGACCTATCCCACCTTTAATACATTAATTAATTACAACAATTATTTTATCATTATTTTGAAAGTCCGCTCAACTTGTCCTTCTGGCAGTGGACAAATAGCTTTTGTTTTATATCAATCAATCAATCAATCAATCAATCAATCAATCAATCAGT